CCCCTTCACCAATCAGAATCGGCAAGGGTGGTGAAGTTTGGACAAACAACCCTCACAGCCGACGTGGCTTGGGGAGACGTTTATCCAGCAGTCAATGGATAAAGGACTGCGAATGATTTTATTTTATTGTGCATATTAATCGATACATTTAAAGTTTCCTGCGCACAGTATGAATCTAACACAGTTATCAGATTGTGCGGTACACAACATCCATCCAACATGGGTACACAACGAGTACACGCATACCGTGACTGACGAAGGTGGCTGGAATTACATAGGTGATGCACGTACGGATAACAGATACATGCACAACCACACAGGTACACACACACACACACAGGTGATATACATATGAAATAATATACACACAGGTGACATGTACACACAGGTACACACAGGTGGCAGGTGCACGCAGGTACACGAGTGGGCGCGTCACGCTGCACGCAGGCGCGTGTTGGTTTAAGCTCAGTGTTTGGTTCCTCGTTCCCCACGACCACGGTGCATTGATGTTTAATGAGACACGCTCTGATGTACTTAAGGGGTCGGGGCTTGGTTTCAGGGTTATCGTCATCATCATCATCACCATCGTGATAATGCGCTTTGTTATTCAAGGCATGTATTTCAGGAGGATCCTGCTTGGGGATTGTTGTACCTATCCCATCGATTCCATTAATGGCACGTTGGGGAAAATCGTGAGTGTACCAGGAACCTCCCCCCCCCACTCCCGCCCCCCCCCCCCACCTATACGAGGAAAATATCCGCACAGATGGATTCAATCCATTGCTATACTGCCATCACATGGCTATCTCACAGTCTAAGAAAACAACGCACGTGTTTTTTGTTTTCTCTCCCTAAGGTAGCGGTGCATCCAAGCAGCACTCACTGGGCTGAAAATGCCTGCTGAGCTTTAGACATTCAACGAGTCCGGGCGAATTCACGGTAATTTTCGACTTTTGACACCAGCTCGCGGTCCCTTCAGAGGCATCACTGTCGAAACCTATCGCACTCCTCGTTAGTATAATGGTCAGTATCCCCCCCCCCCCCTCCACTGTCAGATGTCTATTCCACGATACAAAATGAGATATAATCAGTGCAGACAATTACGTAGCGTCTGAACGCAATTACAGACATTAAATACGGCGTAGGGGTTCTCACGGAGAGCAGGCATCAGATTTGCCTGGTCACCGTATGAACGTTAACGTCAGTATCAAGCGTTTCACACTTCACAACGCGTGTAGCGGGACGTGTGTTTGCGTCCGCACTGTGGAGGAGGCTCGCGAAGGACGCTGTTGTTGTTGCTGCTGCTGCTGGGCAGTTGGGAGGCAGTCGCACCTCGTCCAACAACGACGGAGGGCAGAGGAGCGACGCTCGTAACAACGAGCAGAGCGCCGGGCGGCTAAAAACACCGCAAGTTGGCATCGTAGGGAGGCACAGGTGGTGCATCTGCCGGTCATCTCAGACATTCAACCCATGTAACCTGAGTCTGTCCCGTGACCTGCCAGCACTTCATGTGGCCTGAAAGTGCACTGAGCCTGGCACAAGCGCCGTGGTGATGTCACCTCCACTTAGCGTAGAGTATTATTAACAACGTTATCCTATTCGGTGGGCTTAAACAGTACAAAAAGGTTGATTAAAGATAATTGCAGGCGTTTGTTTTAAACCTTCACTGATAGTTATGAACGATCGCGTTTCAGCCGACTGGGTTTCTTTTTCTTCAGGAAATTATTTCTGCATTAAAGAGATCCGTGGAGGCGCGGGGCTAATGGGTGCATTTTCAAGTCGTTTTGAACACAGATCGCCGTGTGTTGCATCATTATCGTATATTTAAAAATACTATATGGTGACTTAAAAGCCTGGCCGAGTCTGCTAACAGTTAAGTAGGTCCCAATAAAATATAATCTGAGACATTGACGAGAGTCCAGCCCCCGAGTCTTAACCTGAGCTTCCACCGTATCCTATAAAAAAAATTACGATATCGTTTGTGTATATACAGCGTGTCGAAATAGTCGATACATCACAAGACGCCGTAACTAGGGGCAAGGATGCAAACATAAACGGTGCATTCACACAAGGTGAATCAAGTACATCGCAACAACAATAAAAAAACACAGGTTGCACGTATATACGGTGAACTTTTTTCGCACCGTACGTAAGCCAACCGTGCTAATCGGAGATGCACAGATGGAGCAGGCAGCGCGTGCCACGACCGGGTCTCAGCCACGCACACAACACCACAGACAAAGATCCCCCGTATAGCCTGAACAAGCTGTTGGGGCAAGCACGGCACGCGAGGGGGTGGGTGGCCAGCACCACGCCCGGCCGCCTTTGTCTCCCCAGCAGCGATGTTTACACACCGCACCAGGTACTCATTTGAGGCTGAGTCGACCTAGGGGAGGCCCAGGACCGGTTCAAATATTCGTCACTGGGTGTTGGCCGTGAGCGGGAATCGAACTCGGGTCGCTGGGTTCGTAGAGCAGCGCGCTAACCGCTGCACCACCGCTCCCCACACCACACACAACAACACACCAGACAAATTAATTGTGATGCCTAATTACTGAGACGACGGCCACCACCTCTCTGATTTATAACGACCGGGGGGGGGGGGGGGGTGGTGGAAGGAGCGGGATGGAGGAGTAACGATGAGGACTTTGACGTGGGAGGGTAAGAGGAGAAGGGGGAATGGTTTAAATTTGACAGCGGCGTGACACTCGCGGCGCGCAGCCGCCTCCAACGACCGCGACACCACGCGGCAGACGGCGAACAGTCAAGGTGGACATTGTTGAGTTGGGCGGCACCATCTCTCTCATTTGTGCAGTGCAAGCAGCAATGACAACAACAACAACACAAGAGGCAGGAGTGGCGTTATGATGTAGCTTTGAGGGCAAAGACGTGTACGGAAATACGAGAGATGTTTTTGGTAGAGTGGGCAGAGGCACTGCCGTAGCTCGGCAAGACAAACCCCCCCGTATGGCATGAAGAGACTGTTGGTGCAAGTGATGTTAGCGAGCACACGAGGGGGTGGGTGACCAAGACCACGGCCGGCCGCCTTTGTCTCCCAAGTGCCGATGTTGACACATGGCACCAGGTACTCATATAAGGTTGAGTCGACCTAGGGGGGAGGAGGCCCATGACCGGTTCAAGATAATCGTCACTGGCGTTGGTGGCCGTGAGCGCGAATCGAACTCGGATGGCCGGGATTTGCCAAGCAGCGCGCTAACCGCTACACTGCCGCTCCCCACAGACACACACAAAAACACACAAAGACACACACACAGACACACAAAGACACACACAGAGACACACACACAGAGACACACACACAGAGACACACACAGAGACACACACACAGAGACACACACACAGAGACACACACAGACACAGACACACACACAGACACACACAGACACACACACAGACACACACAGACACACACACAGACACACACACAGACACACACACAGACACACACACACAGACACACACACAGACACACACACACAGACACACACACAGACACACACACAGACACACACACACAGACACACACACACACACACAGACACACACACAAAGACACACACACGCGCGCCGCCTCGAGTAGCGCAGCCCCGCGCGGATCGACACGGAGACTCGCTGCTTCGCACGGCACAGCTCTGATGATAACGAGTGGAAAGTGGTTTTCGCGGCTCGTGTAAGCGGTTTGTTCAGCTGATTGAAGTGAGGTTGTTCTAATGCCCTTCCACCAGTCGCTGAGATGAGCCGCCCCCCCCCCATCGCTAAGATCGGGCCACCTGAGCCCATTCACTTCCCCCGTGTTTTCCCGGAGAACAAAAAGCGGGGGGGGGGGATAATATATTTTTGTTTTTTAATCTTTATCTGAGCATAAGCACACAACGCGCACTCGTGAGCAGTTTGAAAGCGGCTCGTTCCGTTTGCTTTGCGGAGCATCGCTCTGTTTAATTAGCCGTCGAGGGCTCGCACGGCATGCGTCGTGTCATCTGTAAACAAATGCGTGCGCGAGGGAGATCATTGAAGGTGCTATAGATTATCTGTCTGCACGGCAGCGGAGACCTTTATTTGCTGCGTATGTACGTTGAACTTCTTTTAGCACCGTACATAGCCAACCGTGCTAACCGGAGGTGCTATGAAGAAGGGTCCTGGCCAGGAACGTCGCCTATTTATATATTGTTTTTACTTTTAAGGCCAATGTGGCGTTGAAGAGATGTGAGGTTTGCTTAGATGGCTGTTGGACCGAGTTTAATGTCTCATCGGAATATTACTGAAACGAGTAAGAATACCGGAATGATTGCACATTCTGGGTCATTTTATCACTCGCCGAATAATCATCGTAAGTTTGATTTATTAAACCGTAGGATTGTGAGATATGGCAGGCGGTTTGGAAAGGTCTTCTTCATGCCGCAGTTTATTTTCCATGGCTGATGAGGAGACCTATTATTATTGTTGTTGTTGATGATGTTGTCGAGATACGCCCGCTCCTGAGGTGCACGTGACAATAGCCAGATCCCTAGCGAGAGGTAGGTATCCTAGATGCGGTGCGACCGGGCGTGGATTATATTTTTGGGTAATCGCTTCAGCTAAAATCGAACCATGGGTAGGGCCCCCATTGAGCACCGCAATGAATACAACTAACCTACATTTTTATTTTTTATTTTACCAGGTAAGGTCAGCTGAGCTTATATAGCTCTTTTTTTCAGAAGCGACCTGGCCACAAATGATCACTCAACGAAGCGGCTTACCACGTGTAAATGTATAGCAGCCCAACACTCTAAACGCACGTTGTTTCTAAATGTGGAGGGAAGAAGCGGAGAACCCGGAGAAATATCCACGCGGTCACGGGGAGAGACACTCCAAAATATAGAGCAGGCGTCAGGGTCGGGATCGAACCCATGACCTCCTGCATACCAGGGGAGGTTGTTAACATTTCACCACCGTGAATATGTGCGACCACCACCACTTTTCCCTCCCTCCCTCCCCCTTACCTTTCGATGAGCCGTGCGTCGCCTCCTCTGGTTTTCGAACTCTCCCGGCCTGGGGGCTCCTGTGAGCGACGTAGCCCGGGGGGGGCCTCAAGCCCTCCGCAGGGGGCTGGGACCACAACTCGCGTCGCTGCGCGTGGGGTACCCGCGCCTCCACGCCCCCCGCGCTCAGCGTCCCGGCTGGGTTCCCCGCTGGGGTCCCCGCTGGGGTCCCCGCCGGGGTCCCCGCCAGGGCGCCGCGGCCGAAGCCGTCACTCAGAGCTCTCTTCATCATCATTGCCGGGCGCCTACGGCTTCATTGAGGGAGACGGCGTGGGTTGGACGGGGCGGTTGTGGCGGCCGGAGGAGGGAGGACCTGCCGAGGACAGGAAGCACGAGACATTGGTGGGGTTGCTACGGGGGGTGGTGGTGGTGGTTGGTGGGTAGTCGTGTGCGATGTGTGCGTGATGCGTGGCCGTGGTGTGTGATTCACACCCAACGCACTATCATCACGATCATTACCATCGTGCTGTCGTAATCGTTATCACCGTCATCGTTCTCAGAGAGAGAGAGGGAGAGTCATCATTGTGTTTTCTTATCAGTGGCATATTTATGAAGTTAAGCATATTTTAATTCAGCTGAAAGTGTGTTTTTATTGAATGCGTATGCATGACATGCACTGTAACCGTCAAAGGTAATGGGTGAGTGAATGAGGGAGTGGGTGAGTGAGTGAGTGGGGGAGTGAGTGGGAGATTGGGTGGGTGAGTAGGTGAAAGAGTGGGTGAGTGAGTGGGTTGAAGAGTGGGTTGAGGACTGGGTGAGTGAGTGGGAGATTGGGTGGGTGGGTAAGTAAGTGAGTGAGTGGGTGAGTGATTGGGTGGGTGAGTGAGTGGGAGATTGGGTGAGTGGGTTGGTGGGTGGGTGGAAGATTGGGTGAGTGGGTGTTATCATCATAATCATAATCGTCAATGTCACCTTATATTTGGTGACTGAGCGAATGTTATGAATTCTAATGCTATCCTAATGAAGGGCTATATCACACATACAGTCGTGTATAATGGTACAACAAAAACAATTGTTAATACCAATTAAAACATTGTTTGTCACGATGCACATACGGCTTGGAGGTTAATTGGTTTCATTAATGGCGCAATGAGAACTCACAAGTTCGACATCGTTTGGAGTTTCGTGGTGAACACGCATATCCTAGCCGCGTCATCATCATCAGTGAACCAGGAAATTCCACTCCCGTGAACGTGTGACGCTAAAGCCGATAAAAAGCTGTCCAATCCCGATGCAGGTTGCTCCGAGCTGAGTCATAACATGCTACTACAAAGAAGACATTCATCCAGCAGTAGATTGACAACGGACGGTACATCGATGCCTTTTGTATTGTATTTACATAAAGCAAAGACACTGCATCATCCTTATCATCATCATCATGGGTTTTGTCAAATCGCATATTTTCACGTAACATTTTGCCGCTCAATTAACATAGTTGAGTTGTTTTTTCTGCTTCTGTCAACGTTTACGACTTGTGCACACACGGGCGTGTATTCGCCTCGGGTACGCACGCACGTTTGTTGAGTTTCTTTTGCTACGTAGCCAACCGCGATGATCGGAGGCGCGGATAACGAAACACGAAATCCATGAAAGAGCACAATAACAATTTACGACTTTGCAGCCGTGGTCACGCCTCCGATGTTAACATTTATCCCACTGGTCATTTCATAACAGGGAGCGACTCAGACAGGTTACGTGATTTTTAACACTCATCAGCTGCCACGGCTGAGCAAGTAAGTGAGCGTGCACGCGAGGTTGGTGCCGTAGCGTAGCGGTTAGCGCTACGCTGCGCTACGAACCCGGCGACCCGAGTTCAATTCCCGCTCACGGTCAATGCCAGTGACGATTATCTGACTCGGTCCTGGGCCTCCCATAGGTCGACTCAGCCTCAAATTAGTACCTGGTGTGGTGTGTAAACATCGCCACTGGGGAGACAAAGGCGGCTGGGCGTGTTGTTGGCCACCCACCCCCCTCGCGTGCCGTGCCGGCCTTCGTGGATGCTTGCAAAAAGCACTTGCCCCTACAGTCTGCTCAGGCTATAGGGTAATCTTTATCTTTGTAGAGTATGTCGGTATGTGTGGAGGGGTCGTGAGGAAACAGCAGGGGAGAAGAGATGCAGGCGACAAAAAGAAGCGAATAGCAGTTGCCATCAACTGATATTCACACAAAGCCCACAGTCGCCTATGACGTCTCGCGAATGTATTTTGACGGTGAACTGAGACGAGAGGGCCAGAATATAAAACACTTGTACTGAACTTCTTTCGCACCGTACGCAGCCAACCGCGCTAATCGGTAGGCGCGGGGCAAGAACATCAAACTAAACACGACAAAAAAGCGGTTCTAAAGAATTTCGTTTTCAATCGAGATTTTCTTTAGGACTTTTTTTGTTTTTGTTTGCACAAATGCACCGAGACGGAGTGTGTAGGTGCACGCCTTCTACACGTTGTTGTTACGGACTCCCGAACTGGACTATTCATCTGTTATGATGATGCTGTTGTTGTTGTCGATTATGATAATAATGGTTTTTTTCCCCCCTCTCTATCGTCATGAGCAGATTGACAAACGTCCCGATAAGGCATTGAGTGCATTCCCGTGCGCGAGCGAGGTGTGGTTGTCAATCTACAAGTAACGGCGACGCGAACGCCACCTGCCTGGAACCTCCCTCGACGTTAATCCGGGGCTCGTCCCTGCGCAAAGACATCCAGCCCAGAGCGGCCCCCACATCCCATCGTCTCAAAGAGTCAGATGGTGACACGGGGCGCGTTTCGCGGTGTTGATGGGGGGGGGGGTGTGGTGAGATCGGACGGAATGAAACGATGCAATGTAACACGCGGGATGATGCACCTGCATCGCAGCAGAGCGGGCATGACGGGGTGACAAGACATGCAGACAGATACACGGACAGACGGCCTGATGTATGAACGGGTGGGCAGACGGATACGCAGACGGACGGACGGATGGATAACCGAACAGAACAATATACACAGGTAGAGACTAGGACGAATATGCCCGCAGGCTGCCAGATGAACGCACGGATGGACAGACAGACAGATACATTGACTGAACGGACAGACAGGCAGACAGACAGACATAGGACGGCTAAGCATGTCATGAGACGACACCTACCAGCGAGTCGTTTATGGGTCTTCAGATCGGCGAATCTCTGCGCTCCCGTCTCGCCGGAGGCTGACCTCGCCACCCCGACCCGTGCCTTGCAACGCACGCCGCCACTGCCGCCACTATCGCTGCTGCTGCTGCGGAGTGTGGCATGTGGCTCCGGAGTTTACGGTTGGGGAGCAGAGCTTTGAGGGAGGGAGGGAGGGAGGTGAGGGAGGAGGCGGTGTTGGTGGGTTGGAGGGAGCCGTGTTCGCTGGTTGCTCCGGCGAGAGAGAGAGAGCGAGCGGGGATGAGGGGGAGGAGGAGGAGGAGAGGGAGGAGGGCGATCTGCACCGATGGGGAGAGGGGTCGCTAGGGAGGGGAGGTCGGAGCGAGGGGACGCGAGGCACCCCGTGCTTTGGCGGGCTTAGTGCCGCCAAGAGAGCGAGAGAGAGAGAGAGGAGGGATGGGGGCTAACGGGGGCTACCGGACCCACGGACAGGGAGGGGTGCTGCATGGGAGCAGACAGACGATCGCCGCTCCGGGCACCGCTGTGCTGGTGGTGGTGGTGGTGACATCGCGACGATCGATGGCAATGGGCTCGGCGCGTTTTTGTTACTCACATCGCTGTGTAAAAAGAAGTATCTGCAGAGTCGGTGATCCGTGAACTTAAGTCGGAATAGTCCGAAACGCTTGGCGAAGTCGCGTTATTCTCACCCTACTCTGTCCTCGTTTTTTGTGACTTTAATATAAATATATTTCTATAAATGTGTTCCAATAAATCAGATTGTGTATAGGCGCACCATGTACTCTCGTGGTAGTGCCTTACGCCGATTACCCATCCTCCAATCCAGCCCTAGCAGCGTTTCAAAATACTGTATAGAGTGAGACATTTGAGCCCCGTTCGGATTGATCCATTTATAGATACCCCACTGATTTATATAAATGTTTCTTCCCCCGCCCCTCTCTAAAGATATTTTATTACGGTGAAAATGATGGGTCCATATTTTACAGAGAAACATGGTCAAGTGTCTAACGCGTATGTTGAGATTGGTGGGAGACATTGAGGCATTGAAATAAAACGCCGCTTTCTAAATAATATCCCCCTGCTATCGTAATGGGTATCTATAAATGGATCACTCTGGATATAATGCGCTGGTGTTTTAGGCACATGGTCCTTCTTCAAAGCACAGATATCAACGGTACACCGTGGTGACCTCAAACACTTTAAATAATGTTGCCACAAACGTAACAATTATAATTATTTATCTCGCGTTAACTGTAGTGTGTACAAACTTCAAAGCCCCTTAACAATATACCGTGTGAACACCGGTGTTGCTGTACTAGTAACGAATTGGCACGTTCTGTTTACGTGACACACCTTCTCAATTGGCTGTGTCGGGTGGTGACGGGTTTAACGACACATTTATATATTTACGCGATCTAACCGCAAAAACCTTTATTATGGATGATATTGGTCACGAAAGCCTCCCACGTGTTAAACCGTGTGATCACCTTTGAGTTTATATGTACGGTATGAACAGGGCATGGGACGTTTCTTACCAGTATCAAAATATAAAAAAGAGGTTTGACCCTTTCTGGCAATAAAACAGTTGTGTTAAGATGTTAAAACACCAAACTAAAACCTTTTGCAAGGAATCATGTCTGAATCAACCACATATTCTTGTGGTGAACATGCAACAACAAAAAAACATTCTCTGGTAAAGAAAGCTGTCTCTGGTGTGGACCAATCAGTTTCAAAGACAATAAATATACTATCAGAGCGTGTGTTTTTGTGTTTGCACGATCACCCACAACTATATGTGGTTAATGCAGACATAATTTCCTTGCAAAAGGTTTCAGTTTGGTGTGTAAACATCTTAACACAGCTGTTTTATTGCCAGAAAGGGTAAAACCTATTATTATATGGTATGAGTGTGTTCACGGGTTTGAAGTGTAACCACTGTCAGCTACGGCCCACACAGAAAGTTACATCTTTGTGCAAAAACTAATGAGACTTAAGGAATGTTTTTTCTCTTCCAACTGAAGAGTCGATGCCCCTAAACGTTAGTCCGTTACATTTCTGGTTTGAGACTGCTCGGTCAAAAAGATGTGTTGCGTTTGTTTTTAATACATACATATACAGTATACCGTTTAATACTCAACTGGAGCATTTGCCATTGTGACTATAAATGTGTCTATACTTGTGAAATAATACCCAAATAATCGTAACAGATTTAAATCATCGTGCAACGTTCATTCTTATAGAATTCGAAGTGATTTTCCTGAATGTTATTTGCTGTGCATGGATAACGACCGGGATATATGTACATATATATGTATGAGTGTGTGTGTGTGTTTACATGTTTAAACAAAGTCACAGTATTCATATTATTATCATCACTAATGACGCGGGTGAAATCGTTCAATCGCATCTCTATTCTGGCCCTCGCCACTGCTCAATTGTAATCGCAGACGCGAGACTTTGTCTGCAATCGCAACTCCAGTCACCGTGCTATCGGCCCGCACGCACTCTCTTGCAACTTATAAAGTTAAACCAACCCCCCCACCCCCACGTCTTACTGCCCTGACCTTGGTGCACAAGACGCTAATAACGCAAGGTGAGCACATTCGCCAACAGCGCTGCGCTAAAGACGAAACATGATACTGCAGCTGATCGTCTCCCTAATATCAAAGGGGTCATTGCCTGAAAAGTCGCTCATTATTATTATTACAAATATTTATTTATGGAAGTTTTATTGACACATTGGTTGAGCCATTGTTATATACATATATGGTACGTATATACGTGGTTGTCTCAATAAGTGAAGACTTAATATTTTTGTAACCTACGTAAATGCGATGTTCATTAAAACAATTGGTAATTGCGTAGTGGACGGGGAATAACCGAGGTACTGTACACTTGGTCCCTCTGCTTTTCAGATCGGTCACTAGATGGCAGAAGTATCACGTGATCAACCCTGATGGCACCCTTGCCCAATAGCACATCAGGAGAGCAGCAATTCGATTATTGTTGATTGTCTCGTGAGAGTGTAAAATAAATATGAATGAACATCGTCTTTAGAACATTTCGCAGTGAACCTTGCCATGCTCCATTCAGTGTGTCGCTATACTGCGGCTTCATTCTTTGATACATTTAGCTTGTATATACATCATCACAGGACCAAAAAAAAATAATACTGTAGCAGTTAACTGTCCTTATAACATGTATATGTGATACGTCTGGCATCTAGCGGCAGAATCAGCGTTACAAATATTGCATTTCATTACCAGGGCCATGTTTCTTTTAGCTACTCAACTTTTACTCTTGATCGCATTCACATCGGGTTACAGCAACGTCATTGACATTTAAAGAAACACATTCGTGTATTTATGCTTGAGTGAAATCCCGTGCACGCAGCCTTTATTTGTCAGCGGCGGTGAGCGTTTGATTCGGAAAGATTGCTCTCCGTAGAGCAGTGGTTCTTCTTAAGCTGGGGTGCACGCATCCCCTGGGAGTGCGAGATGCCCTGTCTGGAGGTGCGAGACATGGCCTGATTTTTTTCAGAAGGTAAATAATCGAAAACACAAATCAAGCACGGGAAAGTAAGTTACAACTACTTTGTTTCATCAAGCCCGATGTATTTATTAACATCACAGGTGTTTCAACGATTGAGAACCAAAGGGGTGCAAGGCTGCAGAAAAGGTGAAGAACCACTGTCGTAGAAGATTGTGAAATTTCCATGACTGGATCAGGGCCACGACGGAGCTGAGCGTCGACTCCCCTTGGCACGTTGAGCAGAGAGCACGCACTGCGACCCGCGTGTGTATCAACATCGTCATCATCACCATCACGAGTCCCGCCTAGCACTTTGAGTCAATCGACACGCAGACCCCCCGGAGCTTACGGGTCACCCAGGTTCATTCCTTTACTCCAGCCTTGGTTATCAATCGTCAAAAAATATAATGTATATTGTTAATAAATACATAGGCTTGATGAAACAAAGTAGCTGTACTTCTGTGCCCGTGCTTAATTTGTGTGTTTCGATTATTTACCTTCTAAACAAATGTTTGGCCACGTCTCGCACCCCCAGAAAGGGCATCTGGGCACCCCCCCCCCCCCCCCCCAGGGGCTACGTGCGCCCCAGGCTAAGAAAAACCACCGCTCTACACGGACGGGGTCGGGGTCGCGATCGGCACGGCCGGCGACGCGCGCTGGCCGAGCCTGCCGCGTTCTCGTTTGCTGGTGGCTTTGTGTGTTTCATATCGGAATCGCCTCCAGTGCTGTTGCTGCTGTCGGCAATAAAATTTGTTTAAAAGTCAAAAAGTTTCGTCTCCGCGACGGCAGCACTCAAAGGAGCCCCATGATGCCCACACACAACGGCAGGAGGCCCGAGCTCCTACAGTATTCACGTGTGCTGGTGTGCGCGCGCGCGCGTAATATACTGCGAAGCGGTGGTGCAGCGGTTTCCGCACTGCGCTACGAACCCGGTGACCCGAATTCGCTTCACGCTCACGGCCACCAACACCAGTGACGATTATATGAACCGCGCCTGGTCCTCCCCTAGGTCGACTCAGCCTCGAATGAGTACCTAGTGCGGTGTGTAAACATCGCCACTAGGGAGACAAAGGCGGTCGGGCGTGGTGCTGTCCACCCACCCTCCACGAGTACCGTTTTGGCCTTAATAGGTGCTCGCTAACAGCACTTGCCCCAAAAAGTATGTTGAGGCTATACGGGAGATCTTTGTCTATACAGTACTGAGGAGCGGTGACGCTGTGATTAGCGCATTGCGCTTACAAACCCGGGCGACTCAAACTTCGATTCCCACCTTACCGCCAATAAAAGTGGCAGTGAATATTTGAACCGGTCCCGGGCCTCTCCTAGGTCGACTCAACACCTCGTGTGCCGTGCCGGCCGGCCTTCATAGGTGCTCGCGAACAGCACTTGCCCCATACAGTCTGTTAAATGTTAAATGCTATAGGGGAGATATTTGTCTTTCTTGTCATATATATACACACACACACATATTGTGGGTGGCTCTATCAGCCCGACTACCTGAGTTGTATTCCCGGCCACGGCTCAAACATTCGCGGCGAGTGATGTATCAACGGGTCACCGTTCTGCCTGGGTCGACTCGGCTTTAAATGACTGCTCGGGACGGTGCGATAGCATCAACGCTGGGGAAACAAAGGCGGCCTGCGCGTGCTGTGACTGACAGCGCCTGCACCACAACGAAGTCTATCACGCAGTATACGGGGGTGGTAG